AATCTAACACTGTGCACATAGATAGACAATTAATGCTGCCCAGTTTGATTGTAAACTAGCCAGTGTATGTCTATATGTTTCTATTAAACACAACAACAACAAAAAGTAGAAAAAAGTATGATGCCCCCCTCGTTTCGGCAGAGCCTAAAGAACTTTTACAAATGCAATGTGGTCAGATGCCCTTTGATGTTCTGACACTTTGGACCCATTGTGATCAGATCACCAGAAAACGTATTTTAATAGAAGTTGGAAAGAGGGCCATAGTGTAAGTGTGTTTTTGTATTAGTCAGCAAGAATATGAAAGTGTCTGTGTCAGCCATCGAGTGTGTGATAGAGAAAAGAGAATGAATTTCACGGCAAACAGATTATAAGATGAAGCATGAGACCACAGAAGAAAAAGAAAGACAGACTCACAACTGACCTTGGCTTTACCCTTTGGCACGTAATATATACCAGAGGCTCGTAACAGGAAGTAGCGCTTCTTCCAGGATTTCTTGCCATCGTCTTTGAGCCAGAGCACCCCTTCCATCTCAGGCACACTGATAGAGCTTCCACAGAAACACTCCTGCTCAAAAACACACACACACAAACACCTTTATCAGTCACCCCAGTAAATACAACATGCCTGATATGACCTAAATAAGTCACGCTGACTTTAAATCCTAAGAGAAAATGTAAGTAGGTTCACAGGCTGTCTCACCTCCAGCAGAGCCTCTTTATTTCTGTCTGCCATCTCACACGTCTCCTTACGCCCCAGCAAATAGTTCTGAGGAAACAGATGAATCAGGGTGATGTTAAAGTGGGTAAGAAAAGGTAAGAAGAATCTGTGACTATCACTCATTTATAGGCATACTAGAGCATTAGCCAAAACAAATCTTTAGACATTTGAATGTGCTATTTTAAAAGACTTTCAACAAAATACAACATGAAAACAAAGTGGTTAAACACATGGAATGACTTTTTATTTTTTTTAGGGTTGCACGGTCTGTCTGGGGGGGGGTTTAAAATGGACAAAGCAGCAGCAAGAGACTGTCTGGGCAGTCAACACACTTCAACCAGCCTCTGCTAAGATCGATTTTTTTTTATTACAGCTCAGCATTTGCATGACATTGACCTACCTCAGTCACATACATCAATAAAACTACTGATCCACAGAGCACTTCCCAAGCAGAACACCCATACTGAACAAACCTATATTACTGTCACTCTGAAACATCTTTCTCTTTCATATCTATAATCAGTCTTTGGTGACAAAACTGCACACATCTAGTCATTAGATGGGCAATAAGGGACAGTTCACTCAATGTAAATGCTGTAATTCTGAAAACGAAAGCATTATTCACTGAAAATCTTGCCTTTCACCGTAGCCTTCATATTAAAAATGGCATTGTCAGACACATCAGTGAATAACTAACTTACACTGTCATTCATGTTTGGGTATTGTTTTAAAATATTTTTATTTAGCAAGCCAAGGACACATTTATTAAAAAAAAAATAATAA